TTAATTCAATACCTAAATCTTAATGTCCTCCAAGAAAACATCAAAAGTTGCGACATCACTGTCATCTGAAATTGTTGTTGTCTGATTGATGATATGTTTCCTCTACCCTAAAAAAAATGGTAATGGCATCATCAGTCAGTCTTTTGTTTGATTGTGGTGCCATTGGTCAGTTTTATGTTTTAGACTTCAAATTCAAGGATAATAATTTGTATATTTATTTATATGTTTATAAAATTATTTATTAACGGAAAATAGAAACTTTGCATGGTCCATGGTATCTTCAATTATCTCCTAACATCCTATACATATGTCAATGCATGCCACAACTCGTTTTAAATGAAAAATATACAAAATAAAAGAATAATGATCATTTTCATTCTAGTGTCGAAGAACAGTGCATTCCACCATTGGCAGTTAATAGACAGGATAGTGCAGCAGATTGCACTACAGCAGAAGAATGCCATCAACCCAGATGTCGCACCACTTGACATTGATGTCAATCAAATTATCAAACAGTAAGAAATAGTGTTTAATTCATTGTAATGTATGATGCCAGTGCTTCACATTTACATATATTTTATATTCTTGGTATTTATGATTGATTCCCAAGTGTTATGCACTAGTTTTAACCATAGGGAGCATAATTATCTAAAATTCACCCAAACAATTGGAGATGGTAATATTGGCTACCTTTTTTTTTTTTTTTTTTTTTTTTTTTGACCCCCAAAAAAGTTAATGAAAAAATGAGTCATGATTTCCTATATTTTTACCCCACCCATGAGTCTGAGTGATACTGCTCAAGGCATGCAGCAAGGCTTAATGATTTGTCTTTAGAAAACAGTTTGGAATAAAGACTGACTTAAAGTATAATGAAATACCTTAAATGTGTTTAAAAAAACAGTCATTCAATGCATTTTAGACCTTCATATAGCAAAAAAAGTAATTTTCCTTCAAACTTATACCGTTTCCTATTTATCAGAAAGGTGCACCATATCTAAAACTGTTCACAGAATTAGGAACCATTAATAAGGAACTAGATCTAGTAGTTCGACATATTCACCTTGGGAAAAAACTGCGAAGTGATACTGCACACTTTCAGCAAGTCAAATGTTGTACTGGTAACATTTCCTTCACCGATGAAACACAATATCCAAATTATAAAAATCAGCATGTTGTGTTTTTTCCTGGGGTTTCTAAGTGCAAGGTGTTAAAGCATTTGCTTCCTTGTATTTCTTGTTGAACAAAAATGTTGAAATGTCCTAAATTTCATAGTGTTACTACATTAGTGCTGTCATAATATTTGAGTTACAAGAGGTATGCAGACATTTTTAAAGCAAAATTTTCCATACTCTTGACAAAATTAAAAATGCAGTTTCATACTACAGCTGTGTTCTTCTCTTCACCAAAAAAATTGTGATTTTTTTTCTTTTAGTGAAATGAAGTGAACCTTTCTTTTGTTTGTCATCTTTTCTGGTTTCCATGAGTGAAGTCCTACTGTTGAATGTATTATTTTAATTGAAAAAATTTGTCAAGACGAAATATGTGCTTTGAAAAATCAGACAAAAGATGTTAGGTGAAAATAGAGGGGAAATAGGAAATTATGGAGTAAACAAATGTATAATACTTTTTTAAATCAGAATTTTGTTCTTGCAGACTGGCACAGGAGAATGAGATCAAGGCAATTCAGCAGAAGATGAGGGATGTGCAGAGAGAAAATGATGAACTGGCCTCCAAACTTCAGAAAAAAGAGAGAGAGTGTGACATCAAGACACAGGAGAAGGTGAGTCCATCTCAGAGTGACACAGGGGAAATATGTGCCCATTCCTATACTGAAAAAATGTGAGTTCTTCCCAAAATATGCTCTTTATCGAGAAAAAAGTATGTCCCAGTCTTATAGGATGCATCAAGACTGTGATTAATTAAAATCTTCAAATGGTTTGGTTTTTCTAATAATTTATTTTTTCAAGATTTATCATTTTTATTAAAAGTAAGGGAGAAAGAGCTCCTTTTGGTTAAAGAAAAAAGCATTAAATAAAGTTCAACAGAAACAGAGAAATGGATTGATTCTATCATAATATGGTATTGATATACATATATTAAATAACTGATCTATTACTTCTATCAGCTGTTCATCTCATCTCTTCACTTAAGTTAGAAAAATCTGATGATGGTTTGTGTACAAAATGATTAGATCACTTGATCACAAATTTATTCAAAACAATTTTGATTAGTTATCATGTAAAAAGAGGAAAAAATTAGAAATTGATAGTGGTTTTTTGATTGGAAAGCATATTCTCTGTTTTACAGGAAGATGTGATAACAACACTGAACAAAATGAAGAATAGATTGGAGAGGGAGGCCTCAGCTCATGGAGACGCCAAACAACAGATTGCAGAACTTACAAGTACATATGAAGAACTCAAGGGACTGGTGAGACACTATAAATATAGCTTCTTTTTTGATAATAATAACAATGATAATATTGATCATAGTAATAATAATTTTTATTTGTGAAAAAAAGTTAAATGTTACAATTACAAAACCAAAGTTTGCTTTAATTAAAAAATTTAAACACAATAAAGATGATAATAGTAATTGATAATTGCAAAGTTGGAGAATGTTTTTATATGTTTACTGGAATTTGCCTGTTCAAGTTAAAGTAGTGCAATGGAAATGACTTTGGTTTCTGCTAAATGTCTGTACATTGTTCAATTGCACTGCCTACTTAGAAATCATGACTTATTATACTTCCTTTGTTCAGAGTTTTCCATTTTTAGAAATCAAGCTTGCATACAGTAATAAGTCTGATAAGCATAATGGAAAAATAAATCTCGTTTCACCCTTGCTCCTTTGACAGCTTGAACAAGAAAGGCAAGAGAGAGAAAAACTTCAGCAATATATGAAAAGTGGCAGTCTGCCAGATGATGCTAAGATGGGGTTCAACACGGCAGCATCTGCCCTGGCCACAGCTTCCAACACAAAATCTGTGGCCCCTCCTCCTCCTCCACCCCCTCCACCAATGTCAGGGGGGCCTGTTCCTCCTCCACCTCCACCCCCACCCCCCTCCACCAGGACCAGGAGGCCCCCCGCCTCCACCACCACCTCCAGGTTAGTCAATGTGTGTGTGTGTGTGTGTGTGTGTGTGTGTGTGTGTGTGTGTGTGTGTGTGTGTGATACAATTGCTTGCATAAATTTAATATTTGCTCTTTTTATTGATTTATGATGGTTGTGTCTACTGTACTCTCTCTCTCTCTCTCTCTCTCTCTCTCTCTCTCTCTCTCTCTCTCTCTCTCTTTGCATGTGTTTTAAACCAATATAATGATAAGAATACAAAAATATGCCCAGTACTTATCAAACAGTTAGTCATTATTTCCACTATGGCATGTTCCAGGTGCTCCACCACTTACACCAGGGAAGGCAGTCAGGAAGAAAGACATTCCAAAATCATCCAATCCTCTCAAATCTTTTAATTGGTCCAAACTTCCAGAGGTGAGCTTCCATTGTTATTCCATTGTTACTTAATGGAGTAACTGTCGTCAGATAATGAACCACATGGAGGCTTTTAAAATTTTAATGTGAAAACAATAAGACAATTATTTGGTTTCATTTCAGTTTTGATGCCATGATTTTTTTTGTCTTCAACAATCATGCTTGCCCCTTGCTTTGATTAAAAAAAGTCAGCAGTATTATTGTCGTTAGTATTTGTATTATAGTAGTACGACAGTTGTATGATGTCTTGTAACTTTTTGTAGGTGAAACTTGCTGGTACAGTTTGGAATGATATTGATGATACCAAAGTAAGTCATACAATGCATTATTTAAGAAAATAATATATTTTTATAAGGGGTCTTACCTCAAGTATTTTTAATGCACTTCATGTACACTATAATTCATGAATGGCAATATTATTGTTTCTTTTTATAAAATAAGACACAAGTTAAAGTAAAGTTTAATAGTATAGAATAAACAGACTTAACAGGACAAGACTTTCCACACCAAGAATTGTTTTTTTTTTTCCTAAAACAGAATTTTACATTGTGAAATTAAGAAAAATATGTTGGGGATAAATATGTTCAATGTCATCGGAAATATGCTCTACCAGTACAGTATTATTAAATTTTTACCCTTCTTTCCTGTAGTTATACAAGATGCTGGACCTGGACGAATTTGACAAAACATTCTCAGCCTACCAGCACCAACAAAATGGAGGTGAGGAGAACGGGGAAATCATGAGCACCATGAACAGACAAAACAAATCCAAAGAATTGTCAGTGATTGATGGCCGCCGTGCACAGAACTGTACTATTTTGTTGTCCAGGATTAAGATGACCAACAGTGAGGTCCGAGACTGTATCATGAGTATGGACTCCAACGAGGAACTGCCCAAGGACATGTGTGAGCAGGTAAGCAGGTTGAGGAGGTCTTGAAAAATTGGAACTTTTTTTATACCCTTAGCCAATATAATCAATACTGGGCTCACTCAGGGACGAAATTTCTTTTAGTCAAATAGCTGAATGATTTAAGCCAGATTTGAACCAGAACAATGATAAATTCAGTGAATAACATTTCTGTTGCTTTATCAGCTGCTGAAGTTTTGTCCCACTCCTGAGGAGACGCAGATGTTAGGGGAACATGAGCACCACCTGGAGGAGATGGCAAGAGCTGACAGATTCCTGTACGAAATGAGCAAGTAAGACCCTTTTCTAAAACTGGGAGTGTTTAAAATCCAATATTTCTTTTTCAAGAATATATCATATGTCTGGGTAAAGAGACACATCTTGTTTTTATGTACAGACATCTAGATTCATCGCCATCATAGAATCTAGAATCAGAGTCAAAGGTAGAGCTGAAGCTGGAGCAAGAAAATATTAAGTTTTAAGTACATCATTTCCACACAAATGGATTTTTAGTGTACATTATTATACGCACAATTTAACTTGCAAAAACTGTTTT